ACACACACACACACACACACACACACACACACACACACACTCCTGATTTGTAGACCATTTTGACACCGTTTAACTCATTTTAGTGGCACTGCCGGTACTGTTGATGCAGGTCAGCGCAATGCATTCCTTCGACGCTTGATCTCTCTTGGAGCGGGATTGTTGCAAACCCAACTCTCCTGTTTTGTTGGTGAGCTATATAGACTAGTGAATTATTTTATTTAAATATTGACTTAGCCTTGAATTGGTTGCGTAAACAAATTTACGCTACACTGTATACTTAGTTTGAGTTGAACGCTAACGGGTTTTCGCTATAACGAGAACTTGTGCTTTCTTTCTTAATTTGGACCTCGGCCTGTAGGCCACAAAAGTTGGCGATAAAAGCTTCAAAAGAACTCAAAATGTCGTCAAATACTACTGAATTTGAGCCTACTCTGTGGAAGAATTACATTTTCCCGAAGTTTTGACAGAAAAGTCACGGATAACTACCAAAGGCACACTAGGAAAGTAGTATGGTGATGTAAGAACGGTTTTCTAAATTTTCTCGTGTGAAAAATAAAACATTTCATATTTATTCATGCGAGGGATCTGTAAATTCTCTGATTCCATTGGTTAATAGACTTCACTTTCAACCCGAAGTAGTTCCTACTTTTTTAACTTGTTCGAATGAAAAATTGAACTGTTTTTATGGTGGTTAGGACATGCCGAAAATGAAGTGTTCAAATTTTTTATCCATCCAAGAACAGTGTTGGGTCTAAAATTGAAATAAGTAGTCTCAATTCTCGTATTTATTCAGTGAAACTTCTTCCAAAAATGTTTTGAAAGAAGAAGAATGGGGTAGTTTTCGCTTATCACGACACGTTTTCGAATTGTACGACTTTCCTTTCTTCAAGTAATTAGCAACCTGTTGAAGACGATATGACCAATTTAACCAAGATTAGGAAAGAAGAACGTCACCCAGGAAATTAACTCAACTGTCAGAAACAATAGATGCTTCCAAAACGAACAAAAAGAGAGAATAGAAAGCGTCATTCTAACCTCGCTCCCACAATAGTCAATAATTCGAAAGTAAATCCTGTCGAGAAGGCAGTGAGAAGTAGTCATTCTGTGAAGTATATAGTGAACATTGCTTTCCGTTCCAAGTAAAAACAAAGTAGGGGGGGGGGGCACAGGGACAGAATTTGAGAACTTCGTAATGCCTCTACTCATCCAGGATTTAATGGAAAATCTCCAGTGAACCTACTGATAGCAATCGTAAGTAGGTCGAGGCTCTATCGTTTACTCGTATATGCACTATAAAAAGGAAAAAGTATCCACGAAGGTCTTTAAGTCTACGAGCAAAGCTCATTAAAAGGTTTTGGAGCCAAGATGAAAATGAAAATACGATTGTATTAATATCGTATTGATATTCTTTCTCCTATTGTCATTTACATAGTTAGGTTAACCACTACATTGTTTATGTTGCGTGATTTGAATGACACTATACTGTACATATTGCGTGCTGAACTGAAGTAAATTTTCGCTGTTACAGAAAGAGACGACTCTTTGGAATTTTTTGTTGTAGACATGCTGGAGCAGTCTAGCTACCTCCTCTGGCGTCATTTGGCATGTTTCCTCGTATCCGCAGGTAAACCTGAGGCTCAAAGTAACTTTGTGAGTGGGGTATCGCATCAAACGCCTCGACGATTTGTGGATAACGATTTTATCGAGCAGCTCCCGAGGAAGCTCACTTTTGATCTTCTGGAGAGTATAGCTCAAATCTCAAAGGTGAGCGAGTGACTGAGTCTGCAACAGCTCATATGTATTGGCCAACGTTTCATTAAGGGCTGTACTTACTTATGAATGTTTCTTTTACCAGGCCCCGTACTTGTCATCCAGTGATCAGCTCTTCCTACAAGTGATGGCACAACGTCTGGAGCGATTGAGTCAAGCAAGAAATCGTGTTGCCGCTTCGGAGCACGTTACCGCTTGAGTTGTACTCCTCTTTAAATGCATCGTGTATCACCACTTGTATTCCCCTCATCCTCCTTTCTCCCTCAAATTCGACATTTTTGAATATAGGAATATTATATACCGTGTTTCTAATAGCGGCGTATTTTGTATTTATTTGGGATATCGTATCAGCATTCTCAACTTATAGACTTTAATGCAGCCAAAGATGCGCTTCACGGATAAAAACTCGAGTTACGGTTGAATGCTATACTTGTTGAGCAATGATATGAAATACAATTTCTTGCAGTATCTCTGTATCCTTAAGTTGTTTCCTTTAATATTCGCTTAGGCCATTTTCAATACTAGATGAGGTTACGTTTTTACCCGAGTACTGTTACTGCAAGTACCTACATACCAGAAACTTCATGATAATTACAATTTGATGGATTTATGGACTTGTTATCTATGTCGCTGACGGTGATTTTGGAGAAAATGGGTGAAACTTCAGACTTATGATTCTACACCTTAAGTGAGAAGATTTGAAATCCTGTGGCATGATAATCCCGTGAAGTCATCGTCCCTCTAGTGAAAATAATTGCTATTTTTAGTTTTAACACGGGTGAAATGATATGTTCTAACCACAAGACAGTAAATGACCTAAAACAAGAATTTTAGATAGCGTCGAGATGAGAGCGCTTATCAGTTTAATTAACAAATGACTACCCCAAAATATACACCTCATTTGAGCCCCAAAGACGAAACAGTGCCTTTTGTTCGTAACATTTCCTTTACTATATACAATATTTTTAGACAAAAAAATAGGCACACGAACAAGGAATCAAAACCACAGAGCTATTAAGATCGCTTGGGAGGAACTGGAGGAGGCGGCATGCTCTCGTTGGAAGTTGTCTTTGACTTGGCGAATCCAGCTGTCACGCCGAAGTACTTCTTGTGCTCGTCCACTTGCTTCTCGGATGCCATCGGGTTAACGATTTCCAGCCCCTGAAACGCAAATAATAAGTTTGAATGATAACACAAAACAGAAGGCTATATTAGGATTTCATTTGTTTAACTCTACCATGAAAGCATCTATCAACTCGGACTTATTAATCAAAAGGAACTACGAACCTAACTCGGAGCCTTCACATTTATTTACTTTTAGGGTCAGCATTAACCAACTTGAGATTATTCTAATCGATTCGATTGAAAGATGGAAGCATTGACCTGTCCGTTTAAGCTAAAGGAGAATAGATTGTCTATATAATATCGAAATTCCGCTTACCCTTTGATTCAAACCTTTATTCTTAAAGCTATAAACAGGTAGGTAGGCAGCACAGGTACTTTAAACGTGACGAAACTCATCAGTCATTGAAGGAATTTGAAGGTAATCACACTGATTCCTTACATGTTCTTTTCCCAATCTCGGAAAAGCATAATTTCCGTTTGCCGTTCTCATCATTTTTCGCTAATATAACAAGTAGTGCATTACTAAGCACACCAATTTTATGCTTCAATAGAAGAAAAAGGTAGTGCATTTAGCTTAGAGAAGTCCACTTTGGGAATGCTTCCATTTATTTTACTAAAGTATATGATATATGATCGAAGTTTGTCACCCTTTTGAATTGAACACGTAAAGACTGAAGTAGTTCAACAAGTAGAAAGAAAATATGTTCATTTTCTTAAATAATGGGTCGTTCTAGCGACTGTCTACATAATTCCTATGCTTGATTCAAATTTCTGCACAAATAATTGCAATGGGGTAGACAAGTAATAAGGCGCGTACCTGAGCAGGTGTGAAAGTAACTGAAGACGCAGTGCCAGCGGTTTCAGCACCTCCCCTTCTAATAGAAGAAGCACCTCCCCAAATTGCTGAGGAGGTAGCAGCTGCACCAAGAGATGTCGTCGGCATAGTCGAGAGACCACCGTACTTCGAGAGCTTCTGTTGTAATGCCTTACTCACACGTGCTCTGGTTTTTGAGTCTGCAACCGGCACCCGCAAGTGACCAGCAACACCACGTTGACCCAGAGAGCCGAGGGAGAAACCTAGATCTGCTTGGTAGGCATCTTCACTCACTTGGCCAAACTGGATGCGGTTGGCAGAGCGGCGGAGTTCCGTCATCCCCAGGCGCTCTTTCATCTTACGATAACGACGACCACCACGCTTCCTGTAAAAAATAATGAAGTTAACTTAGTTGATTCAATAAATAGTATCAGAATCTCGATAAACAGAGACCTGCAAATTTCCATTTAATAATAGTCTACTTCCATTTCAATATACAATTACAGAAGTTACTGTATGAAGACAAAATTTATAGGAAGCTCTGAAATGAAACTGTAGATAATTAAAGGTCATACTTCCGAAATGCTAGCTCCAAGAATTACGCAAATTCGAACAATTCAACGATAAGCAAATAACATGAAAGATATTGAAGAATGCCTAAATGATATAACGACAATCATTAAAACTCCAAAGTCAAGCTCGTATCATTATAAATTAACGTGCAAATAGGAAAATGCGTGAAAAAAACGTGGAATCGGGCTAAAATGATTCCAGTACAACCACTTAAGCAAGAGGCAACTTAAAATTGTGCAATTGAGTGGCTCAACGAAAACCATAAGGCAAAATAACAGTCAAAAGTATCTGTAACGAATCTGATACAAGCACGAGGAAAACATACTTAAAGGAGAAGTTTCATAAACTTACTTGGCTGGCGGATCAATGGGAGCCGGTAAGGCCTTAACCTGTTTGACCGGGGGAGGTTCCTGCCACTTATCGACCTTCTTTTCTACTTCGAGAAGCATTTTCTCACCCATATTTCCATCCTAAGGCCAAATAATTGCTTAATCTCAATAAACTCAGTTCAGATTCATAAAAAGTTCTAATTTCTCACCTGTGACTGATGGAATGAATCAACACGAGCAGCCAAAGCAACTTTATTAGCCAAAAGACGTGCGGCTCGAGATCGGAGATCCGGGGGAAGTTTTTGGACAAACTCTGAGTGGTAGATGAAACCAGTGTGTGGCAAACTAGCGTTGTTGCTAAAACCAGCCAGATTACGCTTCTGAGACCCTAACACTTGGATATTACAAGAGGGCATCTTTGAGAGAGCTGTTAAACCACCAGCTCGACCTAATCAATGTGAAAAATATCAAAATATAAGTGTATCAAAGTTACTGAAATGAAATAAGTAGACCCCACTCACCCATGAGCTTAGCAGCTGTAGAAGCACCAACTAAAATGCTAGAATTTGGGGCAATTAGGGCCATACGAGATTCGACATATTCCATGATGGTCTTTTTCATCTCGAAGAGTTCTATCGCCATTACGGAAGCATCTTTGGCCCGTTGCAATGCATCTGGTTCAAGAGGTTTGCCTTGAGTAGTTGACGCTGTCACCGTGACAACCATAATTGTGGCAGGCGTAAGGAAAGTAGCAAGAAGATCAGTATTCTTGGAGCGCTCAAGAATGTCATTATCAAGAGCCTGAATAAAAAAATAAAAGGTAAAACTGAGCAAACATAACAACACGTCAGTACATAATTCACTGGTTTGACAATAGTGAATACGAAAGAAATACGAAAGGAAGGAAACTTTATGACAATGCTTCCCTACTCAGCTCAAGCGTAAAAAACTCAAAGAGCCAACAGATCGCACGAATAAGTTTGGAACTAATAGCTCAAACTTTATTCTTCTCCATTCAAACTACCCTCCTCAATTCATATCTCCAACATAGTCCCAACTTAATTTTTAACAAATGGACTAAAATTATTAAAACGGAGGTCTTACCAAAATGACTTTGAGGTAGTCCATGGATTGAGGAACAAGGGATTCTAATTCTGGAAAGCGATGTTGATAGATATCACGAGCGTACTTGTGAATAATATCAATTTCATTATCAATTTCCACCACAAGATTGTTCGAATCCACTATGCAGTTATATTCCGGATCCGCCTCGACAGCCCCATCAATCTTCTCTCGTTTCTTTTGTCGTGAAAATTCGTCGATCTGGCTCATTACTTTGGTAAGCTATAATATCAAAGATATGTTTATAACCAGTTCAAAGATACCTAATAAGCTTTGATATAAACTGATTTGCTCCAACCTTTTCACTGTTACGAAGCTTTGCAAACGCTGTAACTGGTGCCTTAACCATTGGTGCGTTGAGAATGTGAGTGGGCTTAAGAGGACCAACGAGATTTTCTGGGACAGAAACGCCATTATTATTCGACTTATCTGTCATTTCCACATCACCATCATAAACTACGCTTGCATCTAGGAGCGCAGCTTTAGCAGATGTATAAGGATCATCAACCTCCTCGACGGCCTCATTGTCATCCAAATCAGCAAGAAGTTCTTTCGCTAGAGACATGATCAATTAATTCTAGAAGTACAAAAACTAAAATGTTCATTATAAAAAGGCTTGGAAAAATTTTATTAAATTTAAGCAACTCGAACATTAAGACCATCATAAAACACAAAAAATTTTGATTATAAAAAGAAAAGATAAAAAGAGGAAACTGACTACAAGAAGAATATCACGAACAAATTCCCACGAAGCACAGCGAACTCAACGAAATTTTGAACGACGAATATACTAAGAACCAAATATAAACTCCTAAAAGTACAAATAATTATGAACTAATATAAATATTAGCTGTAATTCGTCAATTACTTAAGAATATGAGCTAAATTTATTTTTGATGTTTAATTACGGCAATTATCCTTTAAATTATTTTCTCCTCATATTTTATTTTTCGTAGTTTCGGAAGATTTACTTGACTGACTCAGATTATCATATCTTTGCAAATTTTCATTATCAAGGATAATTCAAGTAAAGTTAATGCATTTTCTGCACTATCTCATCATATTGAAGTAACACAGTTCTTCAGCCCCGAGTTTATTGAAAACCCCTTCTTGATTCGAAGTAAAATTGGCAAGCGAATACCACAGGCCTCCAAATCCTTTATCTTAATCTGCAATTACCATAATGAAATGGAATTGGATTTATATGTAAATGTATTTGTTGAAATAACACAAAAAATAGAAAAGTAAACAAATGAGACTCCAACTACAATGGTGGCCAATCCGCTTCACACCATTTAAGACCGGCCGATTCAGTTGTCGCAGATGACGGCGGTGGATCCCGAATTCGCAAAGGTATCGATTGCAATCTCGCTGCTTCATTCAATTGGTTAATTGACAAGTGACGTGTCAGCTGCCTACGTTCAAAATCGCCCAAACCGCTGCTACCAGCAACATGTGAAACTGGTGGCGAAGTCCTTCCTTTGACTACGCTCTTCCCCGAAACAAATTCTTGAGCAATGGTATTGCCGAAAGCCTCATTACCTATATGAGCTCTCAGGAAATGCGATGCAAACTTAGGCCTTCCGGACTTCATTTCCAAATAGACCCAATTTCGAAGGAACTGTTTCGGAAATTGATGTCTAACAAGAAGACTTGAAATAGAATCCATCATGCTCTCTGGTGGGTAAAGAATTAGTTTATTCCCCTCACTTCCGTCTTGGATGGCCGATGGAGAATTAACTTCATTTATATTAACCAAAAGTGATGCAGACGAGCGCTCAAGTAAACGTCTCGATTCTGCTTGATCGTCTTTTAGCATGAAGCACACCGCCATATTGTGAAGAACAATACCAGAAGCTTGGATATTAGTCAAAGGAAAGTTCAAATCCTTTGAGTAAGTCGATTGCATTAGTGGTAATTCCGATGGCAGACAAGTTTGTGGTAGAAATTGAGTAGTTGAAAGACAGGAAGTTACATTCAGCGAAGGGAACGGTAATCGCAGAGTATCTGACATGAGGCTTCGTGCTTTGGACGTGAACCGATCCGGTAACAAAAGACAATCTACAGCCTCGGTAATTCTAAAACAAGATCACGGAGAGGGGTTGGGTATTAGCAATTGAATGGAAACAGTGTTTAGAGTATGGAAGCTAACTAACTCATCCATAGCGATCCTAGCTTCAGCTAGGTACATCTTGGCAAGATATCGATAAGCAGGTGGAGCAAACTGTCCAAGCCATCCGAAAGAGCTATCAGGTGATTTCGGAGGTCCATCAGAAAGTAGTTGTTCTGCATAGTGGATAACTTCTACGGGATCATCCAGACAGAGAAATATGTAAGCGCCAGTGACAAGAACGGCAGAAATGACTTGTAGAAGAGCTTCACCACTCAAATCCTGACCTGACGGTCGAGCTGGGCATGACTGAAGAAAATACGAGTAACCGATCTGACTGTATATGCAGGTTAACAAACTAATGGTAGCAAAGCCTAATTCCATGGTGTGGAGGTGAAACTATTGGTATTTGATTTATCAAGCCCAACTGACTTTAAAGTATGATCACTGGAAAATATTGCCGTAAGCTGCTTTTTAATATATCCTAATTCGCTCAACTACAATGTCTTTGTTCCGTCTCGGAATATGCAATTCCCGCAGGCTGTCTAAGGTTGTCTATCATCTTTACTAATACGCGGGTGAATTTCGTTAATGGCAATTTGACAATAGGTTTGGGAAAAGCTCCTATCCGTACCCCGGTGGATTGACTAGCAAAAATTAACAATAATACATTGACCTATCATAGTAATATATAAATAATACTTGTTGTATTAAAAGTGCTTTTGAGTACCTGCACTTACACCTTCTCTCTTTCGGCACAACCCAACGGCAGTGTAACAGTATCTCTTAGAAAAAAATTTCAATATATAATCATTTACCCTTTAGGGTTACTAACTGCGAGACAGTTTCTCCTTTAGGATCAAACAGTGGAAAAGATGGAAGATCTTTTGTCACCTATCTTAGCTGGCTTGGAGAATTTTGTAAAAGTTAGAAAGACGACCGCTAGGGGAAATGTCGTTACTCACCTCCAGTAACCATGCTGCTTCTCCCCCTTTTCTTCTCTTCAAAATTTCAACTTGGCTAGTCAACGATATGAAATAGAGAGCAGGCATGGACTTTGTTACTCACCTGATCATTGGCCCACTTTAGAAAAGTTTCACTCCCCTCCTTTTCGAGGGAAGGGTCTACTAGTTCTGCAGGCGGTCGTGGTAGAAGAAGATAAGCGTTGCGGATACACTGCGCTGCAAATTCCATAGTCGGGTTTGTATCATTAGGTGGCACTGCAGTATCTTTGGTAGACTGTGGTAGTTTAGTCTAATGAAAGAGGTGGTTAATGGAGTAGGCTGATAACGTATGAGGACAAATCAGGGGGGGGGGGAACTTACAGGAGCCCCTTGATTACCAATAATGAGTTTCCGCAGAGGACCACTACCCACAACCTTTTGAAGGCAAGAGGATCGAGATTCCGCTCTCCAATCAACAAGATTACTCGATCTGTGCGAAGATAAGATTTGACATTTATTATGACATTAAAAAGCTATACAAAGGTGAAAAAGGTTTACCAAATGCTTCGATAACCTAATGCATCTGAGTTAGATCGACAGGGAAATTGTCGAATGAGAATCTTACACGGCGATTCGATGTAAAAATAGACGGAAAGCGAGAAAATATAACAAGAAAAAGTAGAGACGGACTTTGTTGCTGATTATATTAAGCACAATTCAAGTACCGGCAATTAATTGTGGCACCTCGAGTACGAGTTTCTCAATAAGGGAAACCTCAGCATAGGAGTAAGGAACTCAAATAGAAAGATCACCAACCTATGCACCAATATGCAGCATTCAGCTAGTCTGAGCCAGAGTCTTGGATTGCGAGGATAGACCTTGACCACTGAAAGAAGAAAATGAAAGGCTGCCTCGGGAGATTTGTTCTGCAATAGTAACTCCAAACCCATGTTATGAAGGAGTTCAACATGACGACTTGCACTGAGAGCTTTGAGAGGAATACGACGCATGAGATCTTCCATTCCGTTTGCTGTGTTCTCCGATGATAGATGCTCAGTAGAACGGAGGGCTGAACGAGACTGCAGAATGGCCAAGCCCCCCTGTCCAGAGGAAAAGAAGGCTAGGGCGAGGTTGTTTTGGATTAAAGGGGATTCTGTAGGATTTTTCTTAGGACTAAGTAGATTGGTAAGAATTTCGATGGCTGCATTTTGGTCTCGCTGAAAAGAAAGTTGAGAAGTAAATTGGATAACAAGACAAAGAATCAATCCGAAGGTTACAACTATTTATGCATAGATATCTGTATATGCAGGATAATTTGAGTCAAATGTGACTAAATTTGAAAGTTCCATTAAGTTCACGTAATACATATTGTAAAAAGAGGACAGACCACTTATATGTCATTATAGTCACCCCAGAAGCGATGACTCAAATCTACGTTTGCAAACTTCCACAAAGAGTGTCGGCCGTTCCACTAGTTGTAATAACAATCATAATAATAATAATCGACTTCCAGGAGTTTGAATAATAATCTATTTCAGAAATAGGTACTAAAACATGCTAACACAGAAAAATTTATTTTGACAAGATAAAATTGAAGTATTGAAAAAAAATTAAGACGTCGCAAACCTTTAAATACTGGAGTTGTGCACGGCAATACTCCAAACTTCTAGACACATTCCATCTATTTTTCGCCTCAGGATGGTCTTCAGTTTCGTCTAAAATATTAATTTCCCCCTGAGCTTCGTTTAACCGGCCAGTTTGCAGACAAGCACGAAGACGGAAAACTCGTAGTGGGCGAGAGATCTCTTTGAGCATTTCGAGAACAACTGAATTCAGGGAACTTTCGCCTTCAGGAAGTTTTATCTGTTGAATTAAATACGCTAAATGGACGAAATAGTACAATAAATTCACACGGCAAGAAGCGAAATACAATAGCACCATAAGACCCACAGGTATAATCGAATACGCGTTGATAACGATAAAGAGCCAAACAGACGTCCAACCACAGAAGTAAGCATCTTTGCGAAATTAGCAACCCTGCTTTTGTGGGAAATTGAAAATGATTTGGAGTAGCATCAGGCTCAGAAATGTCAAGGAGACTAGCAAGTAGACGATTTGCTAAACCAAAACGCCGCTGATGGAACAAAACAAGGGCATAGTTGTAATGAATTGAGAAAACGGAAGGATCAAGTTCAGATGGACTTGTGAGAGAGGGAATATGGTCACTTAGTTTCATGGAAGAAGATATAGGTAAACCAACAAGTGACGCAGCTTTTCGCAGTTGTTCTAGATATTCATCCGAATGTGTTAAATTATTTTGGTGAATAAATTCGACAAGAGCTTTGTTGGCAATAACCTAAATAAAGTACAAAGTATGCAATGACCTCTAAAATTATAGTTTTATATTTTAAGTTATATAATTTAATGAAAATAACCTTCGGATCTGTTGACTTTGTCGAGAAGAGTTTCTTCATATGGCTAAGGCATGATCCTAACTGAGAGTGATTGTAGAATTCAGTAGCCTCGGTGGCAAGAGATGCATCATTTGAAGAATATTGCAAGGCCATTCGCCCAGATCCACCGCTTTCTACAAAATTATTTGTATGCTGCGGGTTTAGACTGATCCAAATAAAGGGAAAATTGTCCGATATTAAAGGCAAATTAAAAAAGGCTCTTCGCTCCTCGTTGTGTCTTTTAATCTTTAATTTACTTTAACTCCATTAATTAATCCTTAAGCAAGTGATACTAATTTTATTTGAAGCGTTAATGGAAACTATATCTCTGTTGATTGAAAGGAGGACAAGATTATATAGATCTGCAAGGTTAACTTCATGCTTTATTTAGCATGAATTTAAAATTACATGCACCTAAAATATCTCAATCTCGATCTTCAAAATTGTCCTTCTTGGTTGATTATAGCGATCCTATTTATGTGGAAATGCTTAGCCAAATTTGATCTAAGTTAATTTTTAATTTCAAGATCTATTCGACTGTTTCGCTTATTCTACTTCATTTTCGTTATTTTATGTGTTGGGAACAATGAAAGCAAACGTAAACTTTGCTTTATGATTGCGATTTCCTGAGAAGATGACTTGATAAACACATTGGCATTGTTAAGCGATTTTTTATTTGCATCGTAATTAATATTTAGAAAGAATTTTGTAAATAGGACACCCTTGCTAATTATTAAGATCATTCCACTTTTGTCATTTCGTCTTTTTAATATATGGGGCTATTTTAAGATTTGCAATCATTTATCTTTGTTTAGTACCCCCAATACATTGAACTCTTCCTTCAAAACTATATTCATTTCAGTCGATTGTATTTTTTATTACATTCAAAGTATAAGAAATGGTTGACTTCGCCGTTATTGAGACATAGAAATGTCTTTAGTTTCCTACGGTAGCTCGACGTGGTCATTTCATGTACTTTCTTATGCTACAAATTATTTTTCTACGATAATATATTGTTTTAGTATCTACTCAGATCTTCTGTTTTATGTAGAATTAAAAGGCAATAATGGATTATTAGCCTAAAATAATAATAAAAGTAATCAAATCGGTGTTAATCTCCTATACATCTATGAAATATAAATTAAAGGATGCTCATTATTATGTTGGAACGACTCAAATGGAGGTTACTCTGGAACATCATCTAAACTATTGCACAGTAATATGGCTTCCACCTCTGAAAATGACCATAACCGACTCGTAGATTTCCAGAGGGTTTGTACATGTTGTAGCCATGGTCCGACGAGAAGTAGTAGTAAAATGCATTCACACCACTTCGTCAGATAAGACGCATACTGTCTATTTTAAAGGTTGATTTTTATAATCCGTCATTTACAAGCATCATGTGAATGAAATGATTCTTTTGAAAAGATTGAAAATAAAATGCATTAAATAATAGAATTATGTTTCGACAAAATAATGTTTCACGTCTGCAACGCATATATAATCATATAAGGTCTTTTCAAATGGAGACATGTACAAAAGTCAGTGAAGTTTGATGCAATAAGGTATTTCATGACGAAATCACTTATTTATAGACACAACCTTTAGATGATATATTAATTTTGTAACTACTATCATCTGAGTAATAAAATACTTATATATTTTTCATCGAAATAATAAGTAAATGAATACATGTAAATTTTTCTTCGGACGTGAAATCAAAATCTAGAATGTCAAAACTCCTATTCCTTCAAAATGCATGTCACGAAGACTATGTATAAGGAATCTTTACTTTTTATAAGTTGGAGTTGTTAATTTGGGTAATACGATGTTAACTGAAGCCACGAGTCATTATAAACACTAGTGGGATTGACATTTTGTTTCCCGACCTACTTGGTGGGTAGCTCTTCTACATAATGTGATTACTTTATTTAACATTTATGAAGTAATCCTACGAAATAAACCGCTGCAGATCTTACAAAATCCCTAGAGAATATTTTTCTCAACTTGATTATATATTAAATATACTTCAAAAATATTAAGACGATGATGCTCACTTGTAGCTTGAAACAAAAAATTGATATGGCGGATTTCAGCTCTGTTGTTCTAATGCTAACAATTGCCAATAACCGTATTTAATGCCTTCACGTTGAAACGATTGCTTTTGATTTCAAAAGGAGCCAACTACGATTTAAGAGGAAAAGTTATCGTCAGATTCACTTTCCTCATACAATATCCGCTTACTCTCTAATAGTTTAGTTGATGCATAATAGAGTTAGTAAGTCGTTCAATTACAGTGCAATACGCGTCAAGAACTAATAGATCGGCTACTGAATACCCTAGATAGTTCTCTTAAAAAATAAAAAGACATAATATTCCTCATATACGGTTTAGGTTCCGCAAAATTCACCACTGTCAATATTCTCAATAATTTCTTGTAGAAAAGGGTGAGATGTTGTGCTTGATCGTCGATAAATAAACACAGCACAATTTGATTCACAAATTATGGAGCTTCCCATAAAATTTATACTTATTTTGCTATAAATCTTAAATAAAAAGTCATCGCTTATAATACTCTCTATTTATGATAAAACGTTTTATGAAGTGTTAAAACTAAATATGATAACTATATTTATAGATGTTACTTTTAGGCATTTTAACTGTGGAGTGCACAACGCCATTGTGGCTAAACCAAGCAACCCCATACACACTCGAACGGTCTGGAAAGTACGACCGTGGTCCTGATCGTGGAGAGGGAAAGTGCAGGAAAGAGTGCAGAGACCTCTCGGCTGCCTGGTTGGAATAGTCTAAGTTGTACCTTCGTGACGAAGCTATATGCAGTAGTCACAAGCAGAATAAACGCCATACACTGTTCTCCTTCAATGTTATAATTCCATAGGGATTGTTGTAGTTTAGTTCCCTACGAAGCCCTACCTTGAACATTCACTGGCGTTAGGCACCATGTTATCAAACACATAATGAGTGTAAATTTAATAAAGAAAATCTTGAAAGTGTAAAATATTCATTAATGTTTAGTTGTTGTTGTAAACTAGATAGTAGGAAATGTATAGAGAGGAAAGTAGAAAAAGCGCAGCGAACGAGGGTGAGAGATAAGTTGCAATGATAAAGCAGCGATGCTGTCAGTCCGTTCTATTGCCTTGCTCCCCTGTCTTTTCTCGTTCACTCGCCCCCTTACTCTCCCTCAATTGCGAACATACACAGACGTTGTCACAGTCCGTCACTATCACAGCCTGTCCATCTCTATTGGTTCATCCACCCACCCAACTCAGGGCTCCTCTCCCTCCCTCTCTCTCTCTCTCCCTCCCTTGAGTACCCGTGTGTGTGTGTGTGTTCTTCCTTATCACCCAGCTTGTATCTCTCGTTTTCCCTTTCTACCAACTCTCTATTTCTCTCTCCGTTTTCCTTCTCCACATGTTTAACCCACCCATCCATCTATTCATCCATCCAGCCATTTCCCATAGCCTGTCTTTTGACAGCAATGTCGATCACAGAGAAAGATCAGGAGAGGAGAGCACATATCACTACTTTCGCTGCCTAACTTCCACCCCCCCCCAGCCCCACCCAGCCTACATTGCTGTCTACAGAACAGAAAAGAACAGGATCATATCAATCTGCGCACTTATCCGGAAAACTGACTGTTTACTCATATTTAACAACAATATCATCATCTTCTTTTTCCTCCGATTAACATTTTTTGCCTTCACAACATGGCATGTTTACTTGAGGTGACACCACTTTCGGCTGCATTTTCTTATTGCTCCATATTAAGTTCGTATGATAGCAGAGGAAAGTGTGCCTTCTGAATTGACCAAGATTACAAGATCGCTGATACTCCCTCCCCCCTTCCCCCTCCCATAAGAAATATTTGCCACTCGTAAGTTAAATAAATCAAAGTAGCACAATCAATTCAATTTTAGGTTTGTCAACTGTGAATATTAATCATGGTATAAAGGAAATATTAAAGTTTCATTCGCTGAGAAGAGTCTAAACATTTGGGATAATCAAATTTTTTCAAGTTGTAAGTAGAAAGAAAATTGATGTCATTGTGTTCCCCGGATGCCCTAGTTTGTGTAGCTCATGTTCTAACAGGGAGCAGGAAGTCGCGTGGAAAATGTCCCCGTGATTGACAATTAGCAACAGTTATGGTAATTAAATCACACAGGACATATAGGCATGTCCTTATGACTCATCTGGGAACTACATGACCTCATTAACTGGGGTCATGGGGTCACGATCTTCCTGAAATGGATATTTGATTTGGGACAACGCAGATAGCAAGAGCGAAGACGTCAAATTCAAGGGTTCTTTTGGTAAGTTTCTCGCAATTGCTAGTTCGTCACTACTCTGCCCAGATAGGAATGATCATTACATTCAATCTGGAATAGGGTTGATTTAGCCAGACAGATTTTTTGTTGTATTGTTGTCCTCGAATTTTAAGAACAACTTACTTTGCTTTTTAAAAACTGTGTGAGTTTCTTCAGAATTCAAATAAAATTGCTTTGAACCTCTTATAAAAGAGTTTAATAATTATCTACATAAAAGCATTAAGAACTCATTAAAAACGGAAAATGGATAACCAATTAGCAGATTTTATATGACAGACGCCGCTTTTAATACGCTTATCTGGTGGCACATCGGTAAAAAAGCGTTGTGATGGAAAAAGCAGGAAATAAATTTAATTAGCTAAGAAAATGTTAGCTTTTTTCCTTGCTGATTTATCTTTACCTAGGGCGAAATAAATGTATTAGAGGACAATTGTCAACTTGACCCTCTCTTCACTTTGAGCAAAGGACAAAATAAATCGAGACCAATGGAGTGAGTAGTTGACTAGATGGAGTTCTGAATCTCGACATTTGCTGGGATAGGCATTAATTAATGTGACTTTGCTAGAACACTGCAAGACATTTCGCCCCTCTAGTTGGTGGGAGTTAAATTTTAAAATAGGCTCACGGCAACTGCGACTATTCAAACAAACATGCATTTACTTATTAATTGGATGACCTCCTAAAGGCTCATAGCTGATATCCGCGAATCTTCAGTTCTAAAGAGACTAAATAAGTAGTACTTAAATCGTAAAAAATAGGATAATGTAC